CTCTTCCGGGCAAGCTACACTATCATGTTACAGCCTATCTGTTAATTAGGATCTCCCAATGCCATTTCAAATGTTTTCGTTCCGCTTACATCAGCTGTATTAAAACACAACAAACAACTCAAAGGGCTCCCATAAGGAGATAGCCAAAATTGCGATTAGGGGGGAATAAACATCACTTATCAGTGGCACAGTGTTATGATAAGTGAAACGAACTCCGTGTATCAGTATGCATGCAGATAACGCCGCTTCGTGTGATATCGCCCCAACTCACCGCATAATTTAGCCCGGTTAGGTCGACATCGCCGCTGGTGATCCACTCGTAGAACTCCATGGCGTTGTCAGTGGGATCTCCTTCGCCGTAGGTGGCCAGGCAGAAGACCGCCAAGGAGTTGTCGATGTCCTTCAGCTGCAGCAGCTCCTCCATGTCGCACTCCTCGGGATCGGCAACCATGCCTTTCAGCCGGTAACGAATGCCCTCCTTGGCGAGACGGCCGGCGAACTCCTCGCCGGTTCCGGTCTGCGAGCCATAGAAAACGACCAGACTGCGTCCGGATGCCTTGAGCTTCTTGATGAACGAGTTGTCCGACGCACTGGTGGTGCACACTGTGGTGGGTCTGGAGAACGGAAAGATATGCGTTAAATCTCAGACTAATTATAATTAGCTTAGCGTAACACGTAAACACTAAGATGACCGTATGAATCACACATTCGTACATTGTTTGCGATGCATGAATCATACCGCATCCAAAAATGCCTGATCGATTCCAACAAATTGGATCTGTGGCGGAAGAACTGCAATATGTGGATGCATGACCTGGCGAAGCAGTTTCAAATATTGAAATGTGGGCATGATACACAACCTCTTTGCATTGTTTTTCAAGAAACTGACTATGGAATTGAAGAAGTGCCATGGTTTCGGGCTTCGGAACCCTTTAGATGGCTCAGATCTAAGTATAAGCTATACTCACTGTATGGAATAGCTCCTGGTTGGCTCCTCCTCCTTCTTGCGGCTGCGCAGGAAGTAGAAGGCTGCTCCGCCGATGAGCACCGCCAGTAGGGCCACGTCCAGCAGGCCCAGGAAGGGTTCGTCGCCGCCGCCGCTGGGGATTGCGGCTGCTCCATCAATCGTTTGCTCGCTGGCCATGGTGGTAAGTGTATGACTGCAAAAAGGGCATAGAATTCACGGCGCTTTAGTTTTCGCTTTGCATAACAATGGTTTAACATCGATTTGCATGTCGCGCACTTTGGACAACCACTGTAATGTATTCCACGTATGCCAGCGCTATCGGCGGAGCATCGACTGTGCGTCTAACGGTAGTCCGTCCGCTTCCGCACTTGTCTTAACGGTGCAAGGTACCGCTCTATCTGGATGTTCCGCCAGCGCCGGCTGACATTGAAAACGCGCATCTGGTTTTAATCGATCGTACCTTGGGGAGTATCCGTTGCACTGGCGACTACGACTACTCCGTCTATCACTCGCAGTGCTGCACTGGTGCAATTAAAGCTTTGAATTCGATTGGATCCGCCGCTGTGCGACGCAACGTGTGTTTCGCGTTAGGGAGCACTACTCACTGACCGCCGGGAGCAACAGGTTTTATGCACGCGCTTATCGAACGCCGCCGCCGGTCGGGAGATATGATGAAAGCGAGTAAAAGCGTTCGAAATGCGCTGTTCCCAAGCCAAAACTCTTTGTGGGGTGAAAAACAACGAAATTTGATTTCTAATCAATCGATTAACACTTTTACTAGCCGTAGTCCTAAGAAATCGTCAATTGCACTGAGCAGAGGCTTTTTTTCAGTGTCTTGAGTACTTGTCAATGTGAAACCACAGATAGGTTTTAGTTTAGAAATCGGATTATACCATTACAAACATATTGGATCGACAATTTCTAAGCAATTCTGTGCAATACACTTTTGGAAATACATTAACTTTCATTAGGCTTTTATGGATTGATGAAGCACATACAGATTTTCATCTACATATATGGTATATGGTATGGATACCAGGCATAACCCCAAGATATAAAGAATAATAGGAAATGCAAATTGATAAGGTTTACTTAAGTTTGGTTTTGAGTTCTGAAATGCGCACTTGAAGTTCAATGAGCTTCGCCCTACTGGTTCGTGTTTTAAATAGTGCCGAAAGCACTTTTACTGAAAATCTCAAGTTAAGCAGTTGGAAGTTTGATCTGCTCCCAGGGGTTATATTCTGGTTGGGAGGCTTAAGGGCTCTGCTGAATTGTCACCTTGAATTCGGGTTTGACTTTATGCTTTAATGCGCTAATGCGTTACGTGCGTGTACTTTGTATAGAGTCGCGTAATAGTTCTTGTTGCTGTGGTCAGCAAAAGGCAGAAAATAAATATTAAACACATGCGAGGCATATGCAAATCCACGGCAGTTTCGTCATTCTCGTCCGATTTCGAGGATGGTAGGTGTTCGACGCTCCCGAAAACGAACCACTCCAACGACAGCCACTGACAAGTGGAGGGGAACATCAAATTGGTGTCTGTTTATAGGTCAGCCCCGTGTGCTGTTGGGCTGGAATGACGACACCGCAGTGTTTGAACCCAAAACTTTGAGCTGTGGAATTTAATTGTGTTTGGGATCACGAAAGAGAAAAACTGTTCTAACATTTCGTTTTCAGAATTCAGAAGGGAGAATCTATTGCGTCCAGCTGAGAAGAAATAGTTCAGCTTTCAAGTGAAAGTATATTTTTCCCCCAAACATACTTTAGCTGAGTGACTGTTTCTCTAGTTTGCGTCTATGCAAGTAGAGCGTCTATGTATTTACGGTGAATGAGATAAATTCAAACAAAGTTTACGGTCTAGTCAAAACAAACTCCCGTGCATCTAGTATCACATACACAATTGTAGTTGGCGCGATAAGGCTGAGAATCTCGCTCGGCAAATGTGATTTCAAAATTCCCCAAACACGATGACAGTAGCGAATTACTCGTCCCGGTTGACGGAGAATTAAAAAGTAAGCATGACTAGGCATATTTACTCCGCGCCAAAGTAGCTTCTTATCGTAACCCAAATGGGGATTGACCGAACCAACCCAGCAACCCTAATCCTGACCTTAGCTTTTTATCGGTACTTTGAGTGGAAGATCTAGAAGTCTAGCTTTACTAGGTAGGTAACCCCATAATGGGGTGTCATAACATAATAATCTGTGTAGTGAGCAGGTCTTTGAACTTGAATTTCAGTGACATAAATCTGAATTAGCATTTATTGAACACTTACACTGCAAAAACATTTTTATCTTAGTTTTTTTCTGTTAATTTGTCTATATGTACATACCTATACTTGCAGTCTTTTTATCTACGTTCTTAGTATTATCGAAATGGAGCGACCTTACTGAGTTTACTTATACAAGGCAGCAAGAGTATACCCACTTCGGCTTTCCGAAGTTAGCCACTTTCAATTTTGGATCTTAGAGAGCGACGTTGTAATAAATTTGGATACTATGATTTCGTTGATTTCGACATGTAACTGTGTGTGTATGATCAATACAAAAAAATAAATCGGGTGACCTTTTTAACAAATTGCTTTTAATGTAATGGAAACTAAACGCAACGCCGACTCCAATTGGAAAATGTGTACAGTAGGTAAATGCTTTTTAATGTTTAATTCTCTAACTTTGAAAGGTAGATACATGAAATCAAGAACCTTGCTGCGTCGCCCATATCGAGTGTTCACTGTACGGGAAGCAGACAGCTGTTCTCAGCGGTGAGCGACGAGCAGAAAACTGACTTGACGGGCGATTGGCGACCCGAGTCGCGTTTTTTGGTTATGCAATTCGGCCTACGACTGGGTTTGAGACGTGGAAGACGGCAATTCAGCGTGCAAATAGCGCAAATTAATAACAGAAGTAAATTAAATTAAATTACACGCTGCGCTGCCGGAGTGAGCGAGGACGCACTATCGCACGGGCGGCGGCGAGGCTGCGCGAGAGTGAGATGGAGCGAACGCAGCAACAGGTACTGAACTTTAAACTCGCTCGCAGGCGCACATACATGTGCGTGCGTGAGTGTGCGTGTGTGAGCGAGCGAGGGAGCGTGCGGTTGCTCCATCATCTGTCCTCGTCGCTGCAACCTTGACCGCCAATGCAGCGCTCAAATATCTAATATCTAAGCAGCAATCAATTATGGACTGAATTTCGATTTGGATAATCGGGTTTTGCCATTCCGATTTCGACTGTGCGTGGCCTTGTCATATGGCTGTCGCACCCAAGCGATCCTCCTCGAAACTCACCGATCGCGAACTCCGAATGCGCTGCTCCTAATCCTCTGTAGACAGACGGCGATCGGTGGATGTGGATTGGTGCCCCGTCTCTGGTGCTTTTCCTGTTGCAGCCCCTCTCAGCCGCTTGGTAGACGTCAAAGCCCTTGATTTAAATTCGCTTTATTCAGTTACGCAGCGGGGCGAAGCCACGATCTTAATTTTAATTCGTTTTATTCGATAAAACGCTGACGCGGGCGGAAAGTGCAAAGGGGAAGTCACGACTACCACGGCAGCAGCAGTACTAAATTACTGACTTCCAGAGGGACCGTCGCTGAATGCGGTGTGGATTTCTTAGTTGCGCGCACTTTACAGCACTGGATTTTAAGCGGATAACAGGGCTCTGCCAATACGCCACCTATACGTGCAGTAGCTCTGTTAGCTCGTATTTTTACTGAGCGCTTACAACCGTTATTCCCTTGCATTGCATGCCAAAATTTTGAATTTGTCATTGGTTTTTAATCTAAGGAAACACTTATGTTCTAAAAGATTTAATTATATTTTTATCATTTAGTGTTGTTATAAATGCAAATAAATGTATATGTACTCTCAATTCAACATAAGAAGTCATATCAACATCTTGAAGCCTTTTTTCTTTAGGATTTTAATTTAATCACTGTTACTGGATTGTTTTTATCAAAATATAAGCTGAGGACATTACTCCAATTTGTAATGCATGATTTTGAATAATTTAAGGCACTAATGCTATTTTCGTGGAGTCCACCGTACAAAGCCATGCCGATAGTCGATACCGCCTATCGATCTATTCGTTGCCAGCCACCGAGGTACCCAGTCAGCACCTGCGTATCGATATCAGCACTTTGGGCTCTTCGTTTTATTGCTTGTGATTCCTTTATTTATTGTCGCGAACTGTCTAATTACTATCCCTAGCTTTACTTAACTACTACGTGCAGTGCTCTGGCTTGCGTGCCTAAGCAGCTGATTCAAATCGGCTAATTCCAATTGAGCAATTTACTCCCACAAAAAAAGCAGTGGTGTCGATGGTGCTGCCGTTTTAGCCAGTTTTGTGAGCCCAGCGGAGCCCCGGTGGAGCAAGATAGTCGAAAAATGCCATTGAAGTTCTTGAAAAAGTGTCGCCAGTACAATGTTACGTCCAAGAGTTTGTTTGTTATATCAGTGCATCACCTGCTGGGTGAGTAAGCCCCACATTCCTAGAGGCGCTACGCCCACCACTACAACAACAGCAATGGCAATAGCAACAGTGGAGACGAGACAATAGAAACAACAAGCAATCAGTGAAAAAGCCACAACTTAACAGCTGCCGTCTGCTATTGCAATTGGGATTATTTAATTGGGAATGTGCACAAAAGTTCGTTACACGGCGCCCACTTCCAGTTTAGCTGGAATTCGCCTTCCAAGGCACAGACCCCAAAAATGTCGCAAACTTGTTGCTTCGCTGTTGCCCTGCAACAGATTCCAGCTAACAGTCGCTGAGTTAACATAGGCGCCCAGGACACATAACAGCGACCGTTATATCAGAAACTAACAGACCATCTATAAGAATTTCCTAACGTAGAGTAACGCATGTTTTGAATACTTGACAATAACCTTTTACTATTGTTTTTGTGTTGAACTACAAGCAGTATTTGTAGTTCTTGTATACATAGCCGAATCTGGCAAGCTAACTGAAGACCTTGACTCAATTAAAAAATAATTAAAACCTTCCAAATTTCTCCAAGCATCAGAAAAGTATTGGGTTTTAGGCCTACGTTAGGAAATACGACGGATGAAGTAAACTATTTGAGCGGCGCCGCCACAATTTCCGTCCATAAAACGTATAAGGTCTCGAAAGAGATTATAAACTTTATTTGCATATTTGCGCGTGCGATGGGCAGGGCCAAGTTGTTGTTGTGCGGCGAATTCAGAGTGCTTGGAGCGGCTTAGGCGAAGTTTGGAGCACGTTTTCACTGTGACCTCTATTGCAGACACCTCCAGCACAGTGGACTGCACGATCAGCTCGGAGAGCAAGGGGCAGGAGTGCCTGGACAACGTTTGCCAGCGCTTGCTGATCCAGCAGCCGGAGTTCTTTGGCCTGCGCTACCTGGTCAAGGGCAAGGACAAGGAGGACGAGTTCAAATGGATCGACCTGGAGCGCTCGCTCAGCCGGCAGCTGGAGAAGTATGCGGCGGGTCCGAAGATCTACTTGCGTGTGCGTCACTATGTGACCACTGGCGTGCGCCACTTGAGCGACGAAGCCACCCGCTTCTACTACTTCCTGCAGCTGAAGAGCGACATATACGAGGGCCGCATCGCCTGTGACATCCGCACGGCCATATTGCTGGCTCTCTACTGCCGCCAGGCGGAGTACGACAGCTACCAGGGCGACAAACAGAGCAAGGACTACCTGAAGAAGTCGCTAGTCCTGCCGCGCAACATGCAGGGCCTGGCCAACGATGACAGCATGCTGGAGGGACTGATCGTGGAGGTCCTGCAGCAGCAGGCGGGCATTGCACATCTGAGTCAGAGCCAGGCGGAGGAGATGTACATACAGTGCTGCCAGCAGCTGGAGGGGTATGGGGAGGAACGCTTCGCCGCCAAGGACACGCTCGGCAACGATTTGCTGCTGGGCCTGGCCATCAACGGGATGGTGGTGAACGCGGACAACGGGCGGCAGTATTTTCCATGGAAGGACTTCCACACGGTGACCATTGACAAGCGAACGATCAAGATCGAGCAGAACAAGCTGGACGGCGGCGGAAGCATCGTGGGGAGCTTCATATTCGGCGAGGCGGACACGGCACGTTACTTCTGGAAGCTCACCATCAGCCAGCACAAGTTTTTCAAGCGCTATATTGACACCGCCACGCCCTCGAGCCTGGGAAGTGGTGCAGATGCGGAGAGTGGTCCGCTGGGCGTTGATAGCGTGGGTTATGTGGACTACGATTATAATGAAGCGGCGACCGCCGAGCAACTGCAACAGCATCAGCAGCAGCAGCAACATATCCAGCAGCAGCAACAGATTCAGCAGCAGCAAATGATTTCCTCCAACATATCGCTAGCTGCCAGCGCGAACCAGATGTTGGGACAAAGCAGCTCCTGCCTAGATCTGAGCAACAACAACCTGCACAGCAGCAGTGGCATGCTGCACCACGGCAGCAGCAACAACAACAATAACAATGAGGAGCGGGAGCGCCTCAAAGCCATGCTGCCCACATACCGCCCGGCACCAGACTATGAGACGGCGGTCCAACTAAAGTACCGCACACCTTCGGCGGAATTCCACAACGTGGCGCTGGCTATGGCCGCGCCCGGAAATGCCTACTATGCAGGCTCCCAGCCGGATGTCCACAATCCAGGCATGCACAACGACAACTTGCTGTACGGTCATATGACTGCGCATCGTTATCCGGACGTGGCCCAGCCGGCGGCTGCCCTACACCACCACATCAACCTGTACCAGGCGCAACATCAACCGCAGTCACATCCACAGCCCATGAGCGCCGCCCAGGCGTACCTGGAGCTCTCGCAACGCATGCACATGATGCGTCACAAGGCCCCTCCGCCGTATGTCAACCGACTGAGTTCCTCCTCCACTCCCGATCTGGCCGTGGCCACTCCCCGTTCCCTTCAGGGCTTTCGCAACTACGTAAGCGGCTCCTCGCCGGATCTAGTCTCTAACCGCACCCTCTTCAATGGCGGTCAGTACGTTGCTCTGCCCGCTGGTGGACATGCCGGCAACATACCCACATCCTCCGGAGCCACCATGCTGCACCAGTACCAGTACGTGAGCCACATGGGGCACTCACAGCCATACCTGCCCCCGCACGGCACCTTCGAGAACCTCAACATGATTGAGGAGCAGCCGTCCATTATGTCGCAGCTGCGTCAGTCAGCGATGAGTCAGGCAGCAGCTGCAGCTGCCGGATCCATGGTATCGCAAAGGTAAGTGCAATGAAGTCGTAAAGCAAACAATATAACAATACTTTTCGCTACGATCTTCCAGTTCACCTACCCTGCCGCCGAGTGGCTATCGTAGTTCTGTACCCCCGCCAGCCAGCAGCCCGCTTCCACCGCCGGTCGTGGCTTCGTCCCATAAATCTGCGACGCCAGCGCCTCTACAGAGGAGCTTAGTGAACGGATCAATCGAGCCCATTTACGAGAACGTACCCCTGCCACAGAGAGCCTCCGGTGGCAGCAGTGGCGCCGCAAATACTGAGGCAATGCGTCAAAGAGCTTCGTCCATTCAGTCTGCCCCCGGCGTTGTTCCCGTTCCAGCTGCTCGAAACGCCAGCTCCAACAACGTGGTTACTGTAACCGTGAATTCCCCACCCGAAGATGGGAACATAAAGCAGGGGTACGGCGCTGACCGAGCAGCAAGCACGGAGCTTCTGTTCCTGGAACCGCAAGCTCCTAAGCGAACCAACAGAGCCGCCAGTGCAGCGCCTGATATGGGAGCCGCACCTCCACCACGACAACATCGCTCCACAGCCAGCCTAAACAAGTCGGCGACGGTCGACATGATCACGCCGGCCGGGGACACACTGCAACAGCAGTTCAGTGCCATGAATCTTTCTGCCAACACATCTGCTTCCACATCCTCCATGTTCAACTCAACGCTGGACACAACGTCCTCATCGGCGGCCAGCAAAGACTTAAAACGCAAGAAGCGCTGGAACTTCTTATCACGTAGCAAAACGCCCGACAAACAGAAATCCGCCACGCTGGGCAGGGAAAAGGCCACGACGGCAGGCCAGCACTCCAAGCTGGCGGCGAAGCTGAAGCTAGCTCAAGACGATCTCAACCTGCCAAATCGTTGGTCCACGGGCGTCAACAAGCCGCAGCCTATTTCCGGACGATATTCCAAGGACAAACTGGTGGGTAGTAGTTAATAAATTGAAAGCATAAGATTTTTTCGGATTGAAATGATTTTTGATTAACGCGCTTGTGAAATTCCAGTGCCAAATACTAGATCAAAAGCTAAGTGACTCGCAGCTATTCATGGAGTTTGAACGAATACCGAAGCGACGGGAGCATGCCCTATACGAGTGCGCCCTGCTGGAAGAGAACGAGCCAAAGAACCACGACCCAAACTTTTTACCCTATGACGACAACAGAGTGCGACTGACCCCATCGATGGATAACCGGCATGGTTACGTAAATGCGTCCTCCATATCTGTACGTTTAGTGGGCACTCACGCTGAAGACCAAATGTGTACTAACTTCATTGTTCAAACGTATTTCACAGGCCACTGTGGGCACTAAGCAGCGGTTTTACATTGTGGCCCAGTCGCCACAGGAGTCGCTAACCATGCGCATCTTCTGGCAGTGTGTGTGGGAGGCTGATGTGTATTTGGTGGTCCAGCTAACCGAGGATATGAGTTATATTCCTAGAAGCAGTCATCAGCGTCTCGAGTTTGGTCAGGTTTGTGAAGCGTCTAGGCTATTAGTCTCACTTGTCTAACGTTCTTGTTTCTAGTTCCAAGTGTATCAGGAATTCTCACAAACCACCGATCGATGCACCACCATTAAGCTGCGCCTTTACCACGTGCCATCGCGTCGATACCGTTCCGTTTGGTATCTGCAGTACGCTGATTGGGCGGAGCAGAATTGTCCACGCGATGTGAATCACTTCCTCGATTTCCTCGAGGAGCTGAATTCCGTGCGACTGGCATCCACGCAAGAAGTTCCTCCGGGCCACAACACAAATCCTCCAGTTCTTCTTCACTGTCTAGAGGGAGGCGGTCGTTCCGGAGTGACACTGACTGCCGATCTTTTGCTGTACACCTTGGACCACAACGAGGTGAGTGGAGAATGGGAATCTATTTTTCGATTTCTTCAAACATTCCCTTCTTACGATCGCAGGACCTAGATATACCTCGTGTTATTGGGCAGCTAAGGCATCAGCGGGACAGCATTATACCATCCCTGGCGCAATACAAGTTCATATACAATCTGCTGATTACCTACTTGAAGCGCACGAGGCTGATCTGAGGTTCTAAAGAAAATGGGAAACTTGTCAAGAAGTATTTTTTCTTTGTTTAAGCTATAATACTTAAAATCGAACAAATTTTCTTTAGTTCTCGTTTTTAAAAATCAGTACAACTCCGTTCAACCATTTTATATTTATACTGGCAGCTGACCCTTTAATCGTTAAATTTTAATACCAACTAGATTTTAAGCTTTAGATTTGTTATAAAAACTGAACACCCCTTCAATGGCCACTTTATACATACATATACTCGTATATAAAAATAGCGCATAGGTAGTTGTTTTGGCAAGCCAGTAAAAATGCCAGTTAACTAACCACAGCCACCAAAATTGGGCTTAGGTTTAAAGCCGATGTATTTATACATGTGTATTTTAATAAATATCGAAATAAAAATTTAAAGAATTGATAAAAAGCAATAAACACATGTAAATCTTATGCAACGTGAAAGTTTTCTTTCTTAACAGAATTATAATTCGAAATACCCAGCGCCCTTTTCAAAAGAAAAGGTCTGAACAAAAATGCATTTTATTTTTGTTAATTTGGCCTGATGGTCCGAGACATTGTCAATACATTCATAATTGTCACATAAGTCTTAAGATATGAATAAAATGTAATTCATGTTAGTTTGGCGATCTGAGAAACATTTTTACACAATACGCGGCAATAAGGAAGACATATTTGGCCCGTATCAACATCAATTTGAATTTGGAGTCATTAGATGGGAAAAAATGTTTGTTTCGGTAAAAAAAGCAATTTATATTTAAGACGACTCCTCAATGTCATAAAACGTTTGAAAATGTAGTTACATTTCCGCCTTTTTCCATTGTCAATTGGATATTTATAAAAAGGCATTCCCAGGACCTTTGAAAATCTAACATTCAATGAAAAGATTACTTTTTCAAGGTTGTATTAATTTTTAAATAAATTTATTTTTGCGCACCTCTGCAGACAAGTTGCAAATAAACGCTCAACATGACATTGAAAAAAAGTCTCGTCGTTTTTCAAAGATTCCTAAAAATCGAAGCATTAAGCTGCACAACATATAGAAATATAAATACAGAAAATCATTAAGCAAAATACGCGATTTTTTATTTATACAAAGTACAATTTAGGCTTCGATCTAATATTTTTCTTAAGCCTTGAAAAGCAAATTTGGTATTTAGTCTAACTTAAAAGTACAAAGAGCACAATGTATACATATTTAGCATATCCATATCGTTTGATTTGATTTGTTTTTGTTTTCTTGAATTCAGCAAAACATAATTTGATTTTCTCTTTGAAAATAAAGCGAGAAACGGGTCTCCACTCATGGTTTGTATATATATAGAGATTTCTTGTATATAGCTTGTATATGTAGGTTGTATATATATATTGTGTATATCTATGTATATAACAGGCTTTCATGCACACACAGATATTTATATTTATATTGGAGTTCCTTACGTGTGAGAAAAATACGATCAAAAATGATTATATATGGTTTTTATATGTCTCAGGTTTGTCTTTCATAACTTATTTCTGTCTTTCGAGGAAGTTGTACTTTGATGATTTACTTTTTCTTGTGGGCTAGTCTAGGTATTGCTAGGAGTTGTATAATTCTATACACAAATATTGCATTTGTCTGCCACTCTTCCTTTGAATTCTTGGGAACGAATGGTAAAAAGTATATTCAAAAAATGTTTTGTCTATCTCTCTTTTGGGCTTAATAACTAAATATTTGGAATTGGAGCGAAGGTTTTTCATAATATATATATAGCGTATAAAGGAGTATGTTTGCAATAAAATTAGCTTGTACATAAGTATTAAAGAAGTATACATTAATGGAATTAATGGTAGCTTTGAGTTGATTCCGTTTGCGTTTCTATATCAATTGATCGTCTCGTTGTTGTGCTGGGTTTTAAAATTATTTTGTTCTGTTCTTACACTTGTAAATGCCGACGAAAAGTCTTCAAAAGAGTTTTAGTTGGGTCTGCTGTGGGGGTCTGCCTGCAGACGTTTTCTTTTAAGAGAAAAGGCAACTTCTACGCTGGCGGTGAATGATGGGTGGAAAATGTGTACAAAGAATTTAGCTAAATTAAATTAAAAATGGTAGGCCCTAACTAAAATTAAATTCTCAGTTACTAAATCTAGATACGCAATACAAATGGATTCTAGTAATGTTGTTGTTGCTCCGGTGAAGGTGTAAAGGTGATTGGATTTGTCGGTTTTGATTGCTGACGAACTTGAAACCACAACCATTAACAAATTTTGGCAACTCTATCTGCTGAAATTAGAAAAGCAAATCGTTAGATACCCGAAAAGATGTATTAAAAACGTTTCAGAACCATATGTACTCATAAATAATAGAAGTAGTACATATAAATTGGAAAAATAAGAATTTATCTGCCGAGATTATGGTTCTGAGGATAGAAAATGAAACAGGCATACTTACAACTAATTAATTAAACATATAGCGGTTAAAACAGCACAATTTGATTCATTATTGATTCATGGGTGGCATGGGACATATGGTACACTTGGTGCTATCCATAAAGTTTGGCGGGCCACCTGCAGAGGAGAAATTGGTATAATTAAGGTGGGATACGAGGTGAGCTTACAAAACGTAGATCAAGCTAGAAAAACAAGTCGAACAACCCGGTAACGCCTATTTCAGAAAGACCCGACTCAACTCCCGCTTTGCATTTGTTTTGTCGCTGGACGGCGATCTCTCTCTTGCGGACGTCTTACCATGCATGTGGCTCAGGTGCCTGCTGCCAGCCGTGCCCTGGTGGTGGCTGTAGAGACTACCCAGGGGGGGCACATTGTAGGGTGGTGGCGGCGGAGGTGGCATGGCCAAAGATTGCTGTTGCTGCTGCTGGAGCTGCTGATGCTGGCTGCGAACGTGCATGTATGCTGCTGCCGTCGGCGGTGCAGAAAGCTGAATGGTTGCTGTGGGCTGGTTCGGTGGAGGTGTGGGTGTGCTGGGTGGTGTGTTTGTGCTTTGACAGGGACTGTTCAAGTTGCGGGTCACCGCGTTGTTTGATATTTGCTGGAGCAGCCGGCAGTCGGCTGCGGTATAGACCGGCGGGGAAGGCTCGTGTTGCGAGCTGCTCTGCTGCTGCTGGTACTGCAAGTGGTAATGCTGCTGCTGATGCACGTAGCCGCTGTCACAGGACGATATGGAACCTGTTGGGTGTGAAATGAGGGTAAAGAATATGTCTCAGATGGCGGCCGTGAAATGGTGACCTCCATACGGTGCTCATTTCATGGTACCACGTGGTGCAAGTGTGCGTGTTGTGTTTGCGTGTTATATGTTTGCGTTTGTGTAGCCGACAACCAACCAATTCCAACCCAACCACCAAAAACTATACTTTTCAAATGCAAGCAGGGAACAGAGTCTAAAGCACAACTAACAAGGTATAAATAACTGGCGACTACAATTTCTTTATCGGGATCCGATTGTTAAGTATGCTCATGTAGACTGTGCGTTTAATCTTCAAGTTGTTTCCAAAGCGTTCCAAAAATAATAGACGCACTACAGAGCATACTTAGCATCGGGTTTTAGTAGCAGCTAATGACGTATTTTTAGTCGATATACAACTACGGTCTTAAGGTACGGAACTTACCGGAAGTCACGGATTTGCGCAATGGTAAATCGCGAAACGTAGTTACACTACTGCTCTCCAGGGAGAGATCGACCGAGGGTAGAGGTGGCGGCGGAGCTGGAGTGTCCGAGTGCGACCGCTCGTGGATTGCGCGAGAGGGCATAATGTTGCCTGCAATGGAACAAGTTTAGTTATTGATATAACGTGAGGCCTAAAATAATAATCCCTTTACCTCCAGAAGCCAACCGTCGGTGGGAGCAGGGACTAGGACTCGGCGTACACTGCGCATTGGCCACTGCACTGGTTGCCGGTGAGGTGACCACTCCTCCAGGCGACGGTGTGCTGAAACCATGTGCCGCATGCATGTGATGTAGTGGAGGAATCACCCCAGCCATTGTGCTTCCGTGACGCGGCACGAATGGCTGGTGCGGCCGAATCTTGGAGGACTCTGACAGCGATAGCATCTTCTTGACTGCCTGCGGCGAAGCTGTGCCGAACTTTGGCCCGTTGTTATGCATTTGCCTCCTTTGATGATCGCTGGTGGAGCTCGTCGAGCTGGTAGTCGAAAGCGTAGGAGAACTTGGGTGCCTCTTGCGCAGCGAGAGGGAGGAGTTCGGTGCCGAGCTGGAGCTGGTATGCGAATAGATGCTCAATTGGTCGCCGGCATTGAGGCTGGAACTGCCCCCGCCGCCTCCACCGGAACTGCCCCCGCCACCGCCACTGATGCTGCCCCCACCGCCGCTCCGGTGTGAGGTATTTCCGTGCGATATGCTGCCCGAGTATGTGGATCCGTGCGCCGGCTCACATTCCAGCGAAAACTTGTGCAAAAGGTCCTCGTCACTGAGTATTTTGAGGCTGTTGAGATATGCTTTTACCCGGCGGACCATCTGCGCCTCCTCAAACATCTTCTTGGGATTGGGCGCCGCCGTGGACTTCTTGCGCCGCTTGATAGTTGCTTGGCCGGCATTGGCGGCAATAACTGTGCCAGCGGCAGCGTTGCTCTGGGACGCAGACATCTGATTGAGCGAGAAGAGAGCGTTGGAGGGTGACTGCCCCTTGAGCTCAAGGATCGACAGCAGATCGTATGGTGAACTGCACATGTGTGTGAGCAGGCGTACCTCCTTGGCCAGCATTCGCAGCTTTTCAAAGTTGATTAGGCCGTCCACTCTCGTATCATTGCCCAGGTGAATAAAGGTGAGATCCTTCTTGACGATCGGATAGAACGGGATGATGGGGTGCTGAGCCAGCAGCTCGGCGGACACTAGTTGCCGATACTTGCTCATGTTGCGCGAGGGATCCATTAGGTCCTGCAGGTCGTTGAACAACCTCTGGTATTTGGAGGGCAGCTTCTCCCACGTTTGACGCAGCCGCGACACAGCGCCGTGTCCAAGCCCGGAGACGATTGCAAACATGGAGTTAAAGTTGCGGCACTCCTTGCAGTGGCGCGCAATCTTGATAAACTGCTTGACGATCTTCATGCGGCGAACAATGTTGTGCTCGGCGCAAATCTCACTCACAACCCAAAACATTTCGCGATTGACCAGTTCAGCAAACTTGCTCAGCATAGGCACTCCGTAGCGTGAGCGCAACTCGAAAAGTTCGTCCACGTATTCGGTGGACTCAATTTGACGGAAGTTGGCAAAGTCCTGTAGGGTGAGCTGAATGGCCAGTTCGTATGCATTCAGGTGCAGGAAGTGCACGTTCGACTCGCGCACCAGCTCCAAGGCCAGTTCGTCTGGAACCAGCGGTTCGGTGCTATCGTTTAACTTGAGGTAGTAACGCGCCGCAAAGCTAATCCGTTCGGCCAGGTTCTGCAGCTGATCGGGCAGCCGGCGCTGCTTTACCATACCCCCGTCGCCTACACTCACTTCGCACAGCGAGAAATTCGAGCTGGGGTCGTGAATTCCAAACTCCTGCAGTGTCAGCATTACGACCTCGTGGGCCGTCGTCTCCTTGTAGATGAGCACATATTTGCATGTCTGGTCTGCCTTGTACACCTTGAGCACGTGGTCCGGGTAGTCGGGCAAAAGGTGCGATTGCGTCGAGTTTGTCGTCAAAGTGCTGGCTGCTGATGGCCGGTGAATGTGGGCGCTTAGGTAGTTTGCTTGCAATCTTCCTCCACCCGCATCGCTGCCTCCTTCATAGTTGAGGCTGGTTAAGTCCGGATTCGATTGCGACTGGTATAGCCGGCCACTCCCACTGACCGTACAGCCGTTGATGGATGACTGAGTGGAACTGCTGCACGAGCTGACTGCAGAAAGTTTTGACTTGGGATCGTTGAGCAGCGTATCCGAGGAGTCGTTGAGGCTGCTTCCGTGATTTTGCTTATTGAGCAAATTCATTTTTGCCAGCGCTTTCTGCAGCCGTCGCTTTGGCGCCAGAGTCATAAAACCGCCCTTCGTATCCTGCTGATCCGAATTCGAATTGCCGCCGGACGACTTTTTGGCCGAGCTATTATTAACGCTTTGCAGCAGTTGCTGCATAAAATTGGAGGCCATGTTACCGCTCCCACTCACTGGCGGCGTTTGCGGTGGAGCGCAGTCTGGCTGGTCAAGTAGCATATCGACGGAACTAAGGCGCACCATGTGCGCCCGATTTGAGGCGCTGACGCTGGACAATTCGTCGGTGGTGCTATCCGAGCGACCGTGCAACTTAGCAATATCATTGGCGCAAATCCGGCGTGGGCTTCGTACCGACTTGAAACTGCCGTTGCCCGCCGAAATACTTCCGGATCCAGCGGTTCCACCGCCGTGCTCAAGAGCCTGCATTATCTCCTTGAAGCCAAGCAAGTTGCTCTTGACGCTGATGCTCAAGTGGGTGGTGCCCGTGAGAATCTCGTGGGCTCGCTTGCTAGTCACGTGGTCCAGCGACTGTCCATTGACTTCGTGAATCTGATCGCCGCGCTTTAGGCCGACATCCTGGGCCTTGGATCCCGGCTCGACGTGCGAAATGTATATGCCCACTGCTGCGTTTCCGGTGGCTATGGCGACGCCCCGAAGCTCGTAGCCGCCCACGATGCGAAAGTTGAGCGGCTCGTCACGTGAAGATCGAGTGAGGGTACAGCTGCGCATCCGCGCTTTAGCGGCACAGGCTATGTGCAACAGGCGCAGCTGGCTGAGCAACTTTTTTCGCTCTAGCAATGCCTCAAAGACCTCTAGAAACTCCATCATCTCGTAGTCCGCCTCGAAATCGGTGAAGTGGTTGTTCACCCAGAGAAGCACGACGCGAGTAACGCGATCTCGCAGTTCCTGCGTTTTGTGCGCATCCACCTGCTCCAAGTCAAACCAATGCAGCAACTTGCTGGTCACCTCTTGTGGATTTTGAATAAAGATGCGGTGTGTGAGCAAAAAGTCCTCCACGTATGTGGGGTCGGTCATTGAGTTTTCTTCGACCAGCTGCTGTAGCAGACGCTCCGGAGTACCACGGATAACTACATGACCACGCTTCATGTTCAGCGAAGCCGCAGCTCCTGTCGCCGATCCGCCACTGCCAGCGGAGTCAGTGCCGGCACCGCCAATGGACCGGAGTTCTGTGACCATAACTACGAAACCATTTTCATCCTCATGGCGCCGGGTATTCTCCTCGCCTTGATGCTGAATACGGTAGTAGTCCGTCTGCGTGATGCACACAAATTGGCAGTCGTCGCACTTTGTTCGCATCACACCCCGGTGGTAAAGCTTGTCCATGGTGGGTAGAATGCCAAAGGAGTCCCCCATTTGCAACTCTTCGCGGCTGCCGTTCGCATGCTCGATCTCCACCGCTCCGTTAATGAGCACCGACCATGAGTCCAGTTCCTCACCATCTGACATGACCACGGTGCCCGCCTTGTCCACCACGGCGAATACCATTACGGAACATAGTGCTCGTCGCACTGCCAGCGTAATGTTTGTAAAAGCCTTTAGGCCCTGCGTGAACTCAAGAAGAACTTCCACATCCTCCTCGCTGCGCTCCGCTGGATCCTTCTCCAGACAGTCACGTACTGCATCGCGCACGGTTAGACTCTATATAAATAAGAAAAGAAGCCAAATAAATTATCAGATTTGCTCTAGGATCGTTAGAGTGTAAATACATCGTTAAAATGTATACATTCGACGTTTTGTTCACTTACATCCATGCTTTCCGCTAGGTCCTCCTCGTCAGAGTCGACGACGGACTCCACCAGCCCGGAGATGTCAATCTCCTCGGCCTCCAGCGACGAGGCATAGTTCGAGGCCATTGTATCGCTGCCGCTGTACGCCGAACTGGTGTCACTGGAGTGCGAGCCCCGGTTGCATTTTTGGTGCAGTTCCGGCCGGTTGATTGTCGTCGAGCTGCCCACCACCGCTCCTGTGCCTGCTATGCTTGTGGGTGGATACTGTGGGAGAAAGGTCAATTTAATTCAAGTACAATAAGCGAATCTCCGCGCACTCACATGATGTCTGATATGGTGATACGGATCCATGAGGGGTAGCTTTTGCTGTGGATGCTGCCTACAACGGCATGCCAACCTCGCCCCGTTTGATGTGATATGTGATGATCTTAAACTTTAGACGTAACTGAAAAGGTTAAGGACCATAGCAAGACAAGGAAGACGTGAGAAGTAATCTTATATGAAAAATCTGTGGTAAACACTGAATAACGTAAATATCCATTTATTTTCGAAATGATAAGACCTTAGCATTTCTGTTGTTCCATCAAAATAAAGTTAATTTGGTAAATGAATTCAACAGAGCGTTCATTAATACAGCGCACTATCTATTATTTCTTAATTTTAACATAGCAATAATACAGCACACTATATATTATTTTGTGCTTAGTGCCTGAAGAACTGAAGTTGAACTCCTAAGTGATACATAAACTTTCCATAGCTTGTAATATCCGTATGATCATGGATATGATTTTATGATAGATAAAATCAACAACAGAAGCGACCATTTTAATTGCCGTTTGTACATTGTTTGGCTTTCTAACCGAAAACAATTGGCCGAGAGATTAGCCATTGTATTGCGTTTTGGGGCAATTTGAAGAAAGGGTGGCCCGAATCGGCGGCTCATAGAAATCGCTGATGTAGTGGCATCTGCAGAGCTTTGATTGCGATGCACACGGCGCTCGAAAACAAAGGTTTTCGAAACGAAAACAAACGAAATTGCTGTGAGAGTTTGTTAGTCAATTCTTATCCGGCTTTTTGTTTGCAGTTCGCGCAGGTTGCTGCTTTTGTTTTTTAATTTTTGGCTTTTTCATTGGACTTTTTGCTGCCCGCACTAACACACTTTCATTTTCCGCCACAACAAACACAATGCTGCCAATAAATTAAGGCAAACAAAAACAATCGGAGAGCGGGCAAAAATTCTCATGGGATTCAGTCTGCGCTGCCTACGCGTAAGCGTCAGCAGAGGCAAAGGCAGAGCAGCGACGCGGCTGAGGCAGAGCTAGTGTGCATGTGTGTGGGAGCCAAAGCTGCTACTGTACGTGAGAGCGATTGCTGAGTGTGTGCATGTGTGCGTGCAAGGGGGCGAGCGACACAGAAAAATAATAACAAAAAATGAAACGAAAATTGTAGGCGATGACATCCGTTGCGCGGATAAGCCATACACAGCCATAATAATAGGAGCATTGCAAAATCAAAGCGTAGTAAATAAAACACACTTTGCACCACCCACACAGACAGCACAGCACACCAACACAATCGCACGACCAGCAGATATGGGCGTGTTTGGTGCAGTTGAATGGTTTTTGCGGGCTGCAAGGGCCTTCCAGTTGCGGGGGGGTGGGGGCAGTGTTTATGTCGCTGCACTTGCTAATTATACGCACTTTTTTTTAGCCGCAAGTAGTTTCCCAGCTGCTCTTTTTGCGTACACTGCTGCATAAAGAGATTCAGGCAGCGTGTGTGTGTATTGGTATTGTGCTGCGCATTGTTGGAATTTCTTTCACTCACACACACACACACACATCTCGACGAGGAAAAGTGGCTGGTGCACTGCAGTTTTGGGGCGCTTTTCGCTCTCAGCTGCGTGGGCGAGTGTGTCCGATGGTTTTTCGATTTGCTTTCATTTGGCGAATTAGTTTTTCGATTCGAGCGCGACCGTTTAATTTAGAAAAATCAAGTAGCTGAAAACTAAAAGTCCGACGCGTCTTACAGTGTGACCACACCGCTCAGTGATACCAGGTTTTCTAGACTGTCTATGACAATCGCTGCTCTGCGGTACTTCAGTACCGATGGGTTGCTATCGATAGTCAGCGCATCGATATGTTCTCTAGTTTCGCTGTTGTCCGCTAGAAGCGCCACTGCTGTTTCAAAAAATAACCGCTCATCTAGAAATCGGTTATTTTTGCTTCATGTTTTTTCAAAACATTTTTTTTATAGATGGAGCCCATGTGAAATTATCATTAAATAAAGTTCAATTCAAAAACAAACTTATTTAAAAAAAAGCCAAAGGTGTCCCCTTATATGTTTTGAGTGTTCAAGAAAATATAGATGCCGCTCGTAAGGATTTTATTTTATTTTATAATCTAATGCAATTTTTTCATTTCAAAAAGCGTACAATTCTGAGTTTCATCTTTAGAGTTCTTTATTAAACATGATTGTGCTCAACGATTTTCTTTTCTTGTTTCTACGTTTTGCTTATTTATAATTTAAGTTACACTGATCTTTAGCAAGAGAAACGTATCGTTTAGTTTATGGCTATGCTAAATTAAAATACATAATTATGTTTAATTTACTTGTTATTTAATAAGTAAAATAAATTCCTTTGATTCGGAATGGGAATTTAACCATTTTACCATTTTAAATATGTAGAATACATGAAAACCATTTAACTCTTAACTAAAATATTGTAAATGTTGTTTATCATGCAAATTTAAAACGATCTTACAGCTATGCTTATATTTAAAAATAATTTTCTTAGACCGAGTTGATATAACTGCATATCTTTTTTCAGCGAAACCTTTTCAAGCTTTTGATAGAACACAAAGAAAATGAAATTTATAAATGATTATTTTAGACTTTGTACAGCACAAAAAATAGCAGGGAAAGGCACAGTAAAATTTGGTTAAACAAAATACTTTTTTGATATGCGTCTAATTGACTTCTGTGTAGACTAGATTTTTTAAAACGAGTGTCTGCGATTAGCCTAGGTTTTTAACTCGAAAGAGTTTAGATTTGCAGAAATACAAAGCGATTTGCACAATTGTTTTCACATTTCTTTGTTTAAACAGTTATTGTCGAAATTATATGCAGGCGTTAAATACTTTTTCCATCGCGATACATCGTCAAAATGCAATTTCAATTTTAGGAAAAGGGGCAGCAACGGCAGGTGGACATTACTTAGTTTTTATAAATATAGACTCATTTCATGTTACTCTAGTAAATATGTAAAGCATAATTGATTTGATAGATAGCGTTCAGGTGGAGGAGCGATAGGTACACACATATGTCAATGTTTTTATTTTTCGATTCCATTTAATTATCCATTGGATAGAATGCACAAATATTACCATACGGAGTTTACTACCAATATTATTTACATTTCAACTCTTTTAATGTGTATTACTCGAATGGTTTTATAAGCTATTCACTTGATTGTGTCCTTAGAAGTATAATATTTGTTAGCGATTCCTGTGTTTTACCGTACAAACAGTCGTTACCTCTGATATACATAATTTGATAATTTCCGGTTGCGCATACCAGTGGAAAAAAGTGTAACGTTTTAAATTCGGGGTTTGGGTTTCGATTATAAGCTTATCAGCTTATTGTTATTACTAAGTTCTCTACATGCATTTCTCTTTAAAAGTGTGTTATTCCCGGATAGCTGTCAAAATGGATAATTGAGTGAATACCTGCTAAAATCATGCTTAATTCGTGTTTCTACACATGGAATGCTTCAATACATGTGTGTGTGGGTCTGTGGCTTAAAACCTAGATTCTTGCGCTGCAGATACAAATGTATCTCACGGAAACTGGGTCGACTCGACTCGTCCCGCTGCCAGCACTCGCACATCAGATCGTAAATCTCGCGCGGACAATTCGGCGGCATTGGCAAAAGTTCCTAAAAAATACGAGGCAACATAATTCTCTGACCGACCACATTATTAAATGCTTCATAGCCACTCACATGCATTTTGTAGTCCCGGTATATGAGCCCAATGTTTTCAATTACACTTTTGTCCGACAAATGCTCGTAGGGCTGTTCTCTGGCGAAAGTCAATATTTCCCACAGGGCAACTGCGAAGGACCACACATCCGATTTCGTTGTGAACTTGCCCTGCAAATAAGTTTAAAACACACGGGAGGGTGAGACAATCTTTTAATTATTAGGCAATATGTATCTATACTTTCCATAAATTGCAGATAAAGGTAATAATCAATATTTATTTTTGTTAGCTTATAACTAAAGGAGCCAGAGAAATCGATAAGAAAAAAAAGCTGGAAAAAAATATATTTTTGAAGCGCAAAGTATTTGCTTGGCCCACATGCATTCTGGCTTAAAACCCCCGCTTCCCTGCTTCTGTGCACAAAATCCTGTTCATGTATCTAAAACCTTTCATTATACGCAACAGCGTTTCGCATCCCGCCCCCTTATCAATTCCGATTTTTCCTGCAGTGCTATCCACTCACTCGTTCGCTTATGTTGGCTCTGATAAACCCCTCTGGAAACCTCTGAAAGCATCCTATCCAGACGTACTCGTACTTGTATCTAGTCTTCCTGCCTCCCAGAGGCTCTTTGTTTTTATCTGTCATATTGTGTGCGAATGTTTGCGCATACACATGTACATTTCTACATTTCTACATTTCGTTCCGTTTGCTTTTCGTAGTCTGCCCAAAAATCTGCTCCCGGTTCTGGTGTAGTTAATTAATTTAGTTGGTGCGGTTTTTGCTCGGGGATTTATAAAGTATTTTACTCGGTTTTTGGTTACTTTTACTCTGTGCTGAATGTTTTTTGTTATAGAACTGCGTAAAAACATTTTTTCGGTAAAAAGCAGCACACTCACGACATAGGACGAGTTGAGTACCCAAAGGGTTAATGGACTCGCCACGTTTGTTAATTAACCAGCCGCCTAATTGGCGTTACATTTTGCATTATTTTACTGATTTGGCGTGGGCGTTATGTTCAACGTACAACGTTAAAATCTGAATTTATTTGCAACAGTCAAATGTAGAAACAAAGACACAAATTAGACAATAGATTGTTCGCCATGGAGAGGAATTAACCCGGAGAAAACGGTTATTTGAAGAAATATAATTTATAAGGTATTAAAATGGGCAACTTGCAGCATAAAGTTTTAGGGCTTAGCAGCTATAGTTACAATTGAACTTTGAAGTTTGTTATTGAACAACCCACTTGTTGTCGGTCCGCTGGTTTGTTAATTAAATTTGGATTTTAGTTAGTGTTCAGAAGTCCTCCTAATACACAAGAAATGTGCTATAGGCGATATTTAATAAAATGGCACTTATGGTTATTGCTGGACACACATAATCACTGACCAGGTTACTACTTGTGTCTACCAAACTACCAATGTTCAGCTACCAGTAACGAAGAACTTTGCTAGGAGAATCTTATGTTTGCATAGGCAATTCTAAGCATGAGCATACGTATAATATAATATAATAGGCATATCAGTATAGCTTACCAGTAAGACGCTCTCCCAAGCCATCCATCGAATGGGCATTGGCAGACTCTGTCTGCCGGTGAAGCCCTCCAGTTGGCAGTAGTCGGACGCGTAGGCCGAGCGATTTATCACAGTGCCGATGGAGCAGACTTTGACGCACAGTTCGGGGCCAATGATGCAGCTCCTGGAGGAAACGTGGGCAGAGACAGGAGGGCAATTAAAAAATAAATACCGGGAGGTAAATAGTAGGCCAGAGAGCTGAACTACCCCAAACACACTCGCACAATGTCAAGGACTCCAAATATTTGCATTTGCTTGGACAAAAGGTGCCCCGAGTGCTCTACGTCCAGTTTCTTTTCCAAAGGAGTTGACTTTGGCTTGCAAATACCCAGCTCTCCGGCGCTTTAAAAATGGATGCGTTACTTTGTATAGTACAAGAAAGAACTGCGATTTATCTGTTCTAGAAAGGGTTTACTCAATCAAAAGTTAATGCGTCGGAAAAATGTCGCGTCTTTTTCAATAGACATACTTTCTGGAATTTCTAGAATTTATGTTTGATGATTGGTCGACCGCACTTACACATGATTAGAAGAAATACAGGATATTGAAGCGCCCGTCTACAGAGACGTGTGGGCTTTCAGGTTGAATTCAATAAGTGCGTCTTTCCCTCTAATCTGAGGAATCAACATCGAAACTAATTACCGACCACTAGGTAAGGAAGGCAGCGGCAGTTTCCTCTCTGACACCGCCATCAAGTGGAGGGCTAATCAAATATGCAAGGACCAAGTGGGCTGAAGGACTAAGCGCCCTGCGTTTCAGGACTAATCTCCTGCAGTGGAGCATAAAGTGAGCCATAACCCATCAGCAGACCGGTCTGACAAGCATAATTTCCTGTCTCTCAATATTGAAAAAGGATATAAAGTCCTGTCATATTGCAAATAAAATGTAAGCTTGAAGTGCTAAGAGCGACGTCGTTGTCTTGACATGTAATGCGTTTAGCCCAAACAGCAAACCACATGTCGAGAAGGGGTCGAAAAGGGCAAGTTGCAACCCCCGGATAGACAACTGTTTCTGATTTCGACGCATTATAGATTTCTATTTCCAGGACGTGTCAACAGCTCGAGCGTATGTATGAGTATGAGGTGAGCTGAGTGAAAGGTTTAATTTTCATCAAACATGCGAAGGGGCGGGAACACTTGGCTTGTGGGTCGCTGGCTGAGTGAGTAGTTAAGTAGGCTTGCCAGGGCTGTTTATGGATTGGCTTGAATTTCCATCGTGCCTTAGACATCCACTGACAGTGACGTCGACACGTGTTGAGGCTTCTCGAGCTGAAGACCGAGACCAGTACAAATGTACACATTCATTACAGGGTTCCGATTACTTATGTAAAAGTAGTATATTGCTGGTCCATTAAAGTTACTTTCTATAACATTTGATTCCGCAACAGTTGGTAAATGTTTTCAAAAGTTGGGGGTATAGAGTTTTAACGTGGTCAGTGCTTTTAAGGCATTACGCGAGTTGGCAGCACCGTGTAGTTTCACGTAGTGACGAAGCGCAACGAGGTGGGTGCAAATAATGATAATTAAAAGTTTTTGTCGGTCGAAATCCTGAAATATTCATAAAATGCTGCGATTCGCAGGGGTTCACTCTGCCATTTTCCGAATAACAGCGAGATAAATTCAGTTTAAAGCAATTGTTCCCATGGGGAATACATATGTACATATGTATATAATATGAATTGATTAATTGGAAAGCTTGTATCAATTTCCATGGGACACTCCGGACATTTTACCTACTTGTATGCAGTCGATATACGACAATTAATTAAAACATCAGCACCAACACTCTGATGGTAATAGCCCTCCCGTGCGACTAAAAGAGCCAAGTTCCAGGAATCGAAAGCAAGCTCCGCCTGGGGACTTGGCCAACAATTTCACATGTCAACGCATGCAAAAATGAAACGAGGGCGGAACTATGTCACATGGGGTTGCGGACCTGATCAGGTGGAATGTGGAATGCGGGGGGAGAAGTTCGGAGGTGGTGCCGCTGTTGCCGCTGTTGCCAATAAAGGTCAAATTAAGGGGTCGCAGCGGAAGGTCGCTGACTGCTGCGCATGCATTTAACCTCTGACATGGAGACGCGTTCAAATAAAATGAAAATACAGCAGCAGCATCAGCAGCAGCATCAGCAGCAGCAGCAGCTGCATCCACATCCGCATGGCTGGAATGGCTCCGGGCTGAGCTCCCCCCGGGTGGAGCTACTAACGTTGCCATGACACCGCCGGACATTCCGAAATGCTCCTGGGCCATCGGAGCTGGAATAATGCTCAGCCAGGCGGCAGTAGTTGCCATGTCAGAACTATTGATTGACTTCGGAAATGGAGGTAGCCAGGCACACTTCGCACTGATGCAAATTGCAATTTAAGCTCACGAAACGTATAATTCAGCCCAAGATGTGTCAAAGTGTTTGGCTATGAATGGAATAATTATATCCAACTGACACAGGCACGATTATTAGATGCATGCGCTTCTGAGAACTCGAATCCAGTCAGATTCAAATTAAACGCCATATTTTAAGCATTAAGACTTTCACTTTTAGTGCTGCATTAATGTGCATGTTGTGTTGCATTTTTTGTGCCATTTTTGCTGTCTGGATTTTAATTAAAATTTTCACAGGGAAGAGTTTGATAGGAGGCTGAGGTTACCGCCTTTTTAATGTTGATTTTATGCAAATGGCACTTGATTGGACGGAGGAAGTGTGAGTGCTCGCCATTGTGATTAAAGTGATATTAAAAGCCATTTTGTGGTGCTGCAGCATGGGGGAAATCGAAACTATCCATTCGAAAACTCAAATTCTGTCGCATAGTAATATGGAATGTAGGCAAATATTTATAAAAAAGCTTAAAGGACTTGCAAATCCCATGTGGATAAGTTTGGAAATTTCAAATTTTGCATTTGGAACTGAATTTACCTCGTTTTGCTTTTACTGCTTTTGTTATGGATACAAATTTTAATACAAGTTTGAAGGCATGTTTTTGTTTATGATTTGGAACAAATTTCAGTTTCGCAAAAAATATGCATGCATACGTGTATGTGTGGCGAAAGTATTGATTTCATATCAAGTCGCTCTCAGCTGGATTATTCAATGCTGTCTGAGTCCATAACGCTCAGCATCACATTAAAATTAATTAAACCACACTGACACCCCAAACTCAACTCGATATGTGTGCCTCTCATTACGGGAGTGCTTTTGCGGGCATATTTCATGTCATAAGCCCGGAATATCAACGATTGCCATTAAAGCAGCCACGCGATGCGCAGCTAAAAGCAGATTTGTGGCGGCATCAATTTCTGAAGGAAAGCATATTGCGCGGCAGGACAACAATGGGCAAGTCCAAGTTCGACGCCAACTAAATCCAATTACAGTCATTTCGCCGGGCGCAAAGGAGCTGCCAGGATATACGCAGGCTACGCAGGATATGCAGAGCACTGCACATCGAACACGTGTGCGCAACGAATTCTTCCATTGAATTTTTCGGTAATTCGGGGTGGCTGCTCCGGCCTTCTCCGGCGGAATGGGCAACCCAACGGACGTTGGGTTCGTCAGACATATTGCAAGCCGCCCGCAGCGCGCCATAAAGGTTTACTTTTCATTTACGCGCTGCGAAAAGGGGACAAAGGCGCAACCCATACAACTGCACACACACACGCGCATGTGGAGGGGCAGGGAGTCCTTTGCGAGGTCCTGTTATGGCTACCCACTGCAGCACGCCGAAAAATTGTAATTAAACTTAATCCGCTCAATTTGAAACGCACACCCAGGCCGTCAAAAGTGCCCTCCTTTCAGCTCCCATGATTACAATGGCGGGCAAAATAGGGCCTTTCACTCGTAAGAGCATGGATATTTATAAAAATGCAGTTAATTTGGCCTGGCTGATTAAATTTGTGGATATCACAATGATTGAAAAAATGAAACAATATGAAAACTAAAACAAACACGCGTACTTCTTCGAATGCAATTACTAAATAGCAATTATGAATGTGCATATACGCAAACAAAACCTATTGTTAATAGAACACCCATAGAAATAATGTGTAATGGTGAAATGGGTAATACCGTCCGTTTTACAATTCGTTCATTATTTAAATACTGAATAGTAACAAATGAGTATAATAAACTTTTGTTTAATAAACATTAAAAAAAGATAAATGGAATACGCGCATGTTTCGGTTTTCCCTCAAAATATGGAATGCCATATAATGGGTCATTTAATAAAAAAAGTAGCCCACGAGTTCGTATGATATTCTGTGTAACGCAAGTAGTATCACTACATTAGTCACGTCTGCCAGATTTGTCATGTAAATAACGATGAATTATACTTGGTGTATACAATCCCAAACTTGGCCTAGAAGCTGTTGCTCCTGAAACGTGTTCGAAGTTTTTGATAGGCGGCGGAACTTTCTGGAGGAGACTAGTCGCTTGGGCAATTTAACTAAAAGCCCAATCAATCATCTTAGACGGGCACCTCATTCCATTGCTTAATTTGCGCTCAACCCGCCAGAAACCCCCACCCGCGCGCCCCTGACAACTCGTGGACTCCTTTGTCAATGTTGCCACTTCGCGTCCGCCCCTCGCTTCGGACTTGAGGTAAACTCCACATTGCTGCCTCGCTGCCCCAAGAGCTTTAATCCGCTTTTTGGTCGCTTTCGAACTTTATCCTCCTGGCCCCGCCGCCACCTGAATGAGCATCTCAATCTGAATCTGTATCTGATTGGGGCACATGCTGCAAGCGCTGCTCTGCACACATATTTGCCCAGCTGCCGAAAGGGTTGATTATTTGGGGAGCGGAAGGCTTAGGAGCTGCTGCAACGAAAGCGCCCAAAGACGGCTTACGCAGGGCCTAAGAACTTAAAGGAATCGGCATTCGCAAATGTTTGCTCCTTTAAGGTAATTGCTTGGAAATAACCCAAGCTTACCGCCTTAGATTCGCAAAGCAATTTCCTATAATCGGAGTTTTAACATGTAGCATGTTAAGACTAAAATGTAGAACCTTTAATTCCCTAAAGCCCTCCATAATAACGCAATTTGAATTCGCTACTGTAACGATGGACGGCCGATGGTCATTATTCGATTAAAGTGTTAGGGAAAACTCAAATAAATCATGCTGTCTTCGACTGCTCGGAA